GCCCCGTCTAAAGACGATATTGGATGTCTCCAGTCCTGGCTGGCCTTTCAACACACGCGCGCGCGCATACACACACACACACACACACACACACACACACACACACACACACACACACACACACACACACACACACACGCTGGTGGCTGTGAGGATAGCACGCTGGACATGATGTAATCCTGTGGTCCCGGGTTCGATTCCCGGCGCCGGCGAGAAACAATGGGCAGAGTTTATTTCACCCTCATGCTCCTGTTATCTAGCAGTAAATAGGTACCAGGGAGTTAGACAGCTGTTACGGGCTGATTCTTGTGTGTGTGTGTGTGCGGGGGGGGGGGTTGTTAGTAGTTAGTAACAGTTGATAGGCAGGCCAAAAGGGCAAAGCTCAACTCCTGCAAGAACAACTAGGTTAATACACACACACACACACACACACACACACACACACACACACACACACACGCACACACGCACCATCTCCGGTCGTGACGAGGCGGAGGAGCCCCCCCCCCCCCATCACTTCCAATGTGTTTGTTTTTCATTAAGTGGAACACTTACTGGGCCCGACTTAGACGGCTCACTGCTGGTAATTCATTCACACCACTCTCTTACCCCAGTTCACCTGTCTCTATTACCGCACTTCACCTGTCTATTACCGCACTTCACCTATTACCGCACTTCACCTGTCTATTACCGCACTTCACCTGTCTATTACCGCACTTCACCTGTCTATTACCGCACTTCACCTGTCTATTACCGCACTTCACCTGTCTATTACCGCACTTCACCTGTCTTCACCTGTCCGGGATATTATTTGTTCCCGTGGTTAGTTATAATTTAATGCGTGTATACTTCACTTCATCTGACTATGTATTACTTCACCTGGTTATGTATAATTTCAACTAGTTATTCAGTACATAATAATACATATATAATCATACAGTTGCTACAAGAACTATCATTTTTAGGAAGACAGGGGCTACTTTAATGTCGGTGTATTTGCGTCCAGGATCTTGGACTGTTCACTGCAGCGATCGTCTCCCTTCTTGCAGGTCGGCGTTCGATCCCCCGATGGTCTAAGTGGTTGGGCTCCATCCTCATGTCCCTTTATCCCAATCCAAGTGTCATATATCCATATTGCCTTCTCACAATATTCTTTCTTTCCCCTGTATTTTTGTTCAGTTGTTGCATACTTCCCCCTCGTTTTCTATACACTACTCTCCTATTTCAAAACGAACATCGTTTTGTCTCATTCCCATTTTCTCTTTTGGAAGTAAATACGAAAACATGAGAAGGTACAAAAGCATGAATGAAAGAATGAAGAACGAGGTATGAAGACAGTGAAAAGCCTAATGTTGCTAGGAGGAAGGGAGAGAGAGAGAGAGAGAGAGAGAGAGAGAGAGAGAGAGAGAGAGAGAGAGAGAGAGAGAGAGAGAGAGAGAGAGAGAGAGAGAGAGAGAGAGAGAGAGAGAGAGAGAGAGAGAGAGAGAGAGAGAGAGAGAGAGAGAGAGAGAGAGAGAGAGAGAGAGAGAGAGAGAGAGAGAGAGAGAGAGAGAGAGAGAGAGAGAGAGAGAGAGAGAGAGAGAGAGAGAGAGAGAGAGAGAGAGAGAGAGAGACAGGAGACAATAATAAAGACAGAATATTAAGAGAGATTGACAGTGGAAAATGAGGAAATGTTCCCCATGAGTACCAATAGAATATGAGGGCATGGATGAGGCCCACCCGCGCTCCTCATAACTCCTGTTTACCTATTTTTTGTTCTGGGGGGAAAGGGGGAGGCTAAAGGGGAAAAGGGGGAGGCTAAAGGGGGAGAGGGGGGTAAAGGGGGAGGGGAGTAAAGTACACTTTTACCCACACATTTTTGGAGCATGTTTGCCCATTACCCAACTTTCCTGTTGCTATTTGCAAGGTACACAGCTCTTCTTTTGCTTGACTCATTACCTCCCTTGTGGAGCCTGTTTGTTCTCATCACTTTAATACTACGTGTGCGTGCGTGTGTGCGTGTGTGTGTGCGTGTTTGTGTGCGTGCGTGTGTGTGTGTGTGTGTGTGTGTGTGTGTGTGTGTGTGTGTGTGTGTGTGTGTGTGTGTGTGTGTGTGTAACCTATTTGTGCCTGCAGGACATAGCTTCAATTCTTGTATCACTTCAATCTACCCTATTATCATGTTTTCTTTACAAAGGTTGAATGGTGTTTCACTTCCACAACCTGCCCCTTTAGTTCATTCCATTCTCCTACAATTCTTGCACTAAAAAACAAAAATACTTTCAAACATCTCTATGGGTCACCAGTTTCTCAAGCTTCCACCATCTTGGTCTACTGGCAACCCATCCTCCTGAAATGACAGTACTTTTAGTAACTATTTGGTCGAAAGTACCAATATGTACTGATGGACCGTCAGAAAAATCTGAACTTTTAAGTATATAAAGTCTGGAAAAAAAATACATCTAAATACTAAACTTCAACATTCCTAGGTGTAGTATAGTACATATTTGTACTACAGTAGGCCTAAAATAGCGTGTATTAGGCCAAGGATCTCTAAAAGTGAAGTTAGGTCTTATATTTATGTTACAGTTAAAAACGTTTCCTGTTTGTCCAAATTTAATAACATAAAAGTAAACTTTCTGGTGCTTCATCCCCATATATTTCCGACCAAATGTTACTGTAAATACTTTCATTTTAGGAGGATGGGCAGCCTATTGTTATTCACGAAGAACATTGATTTTTTTCCATTACCCGTTAATCCCATTAGGTATTTTACACGTCTCTATTATGTCTCACCCTTCCCTCCCCACACACACTCATCTACCGGCGTCAGTTCCAATGGTCTCACGTAGGTGGTGTACAATGATCAACAAATTGTCTTCCCCTTCAGACAGTGCAACACCATCCTCTTCTTCTTGGAGTCACCCTCCAACAACGAGGTCATTCTCTCTTCATGTCTCTTCCAATCCTCCTCCAACAAGGTATGTCTCTTCTCTTTGTATAACCTCCTCCAGGCAGGTCCTCTTCCGCCTACGTTAACGTGGCTAATTAAGCCCAACACTGTAGAAGGTAATGACCTTCCATTTTCATTTTCAGTTTCCACCACTAGTTTACAGCCAAGTTAACGGTCTTCCTTTTTATCACAATTGCTAAACGCCGCCGAGAGACAACGGTAAGCCCGAGAAATTATATTGTCTCGTATTTTTGTATTCACCAAATTGTGGAGTGAAATATATATATATATATATATATATATGTCGTACCTAGTAGCCAGAACTCACTTCTCAGCCTACTATTCAAGGCCCGATTTGCCTAATAAGCCAAGTTTTCATGAATTAATATATTTACTATAATTTTTTCTTATGAAATGATAAAGCAACCCTTTTCTCTATGTATGAGGTCAATTTTTTTTATTAGAGTTAAAATTAACGTAGATATATGACCGAACCTAACCAACCCTACCTAACCTAACCTAACCTATATTTATAGGTAAGGTTAGGTTAGGTAGCCCAAAAAAGCTAGGTTAGGTTAGGTTAGGTAGGTTAGGTAGACGAAAAAACATTAATTCATGAAAACTTGGCTTATTAGGCAAATCGGGCCTTGAATAGTAGGCTGAGAAGTGCGTTCTGGCTATTAGGTACGACATATATATATATATATATATATATATATATATATATATATATATATATATATATATATATATATATATATATATATATATATATAAATAAAGGGGAAATATATATATATATATAAGTTTGTTGGAGTTCCTGAGCACCGGACAGGATCACTCTGATTGGCCTAGAAGGCGAGATCTGAAAGGTAATGTTATAATGATAATTTTGACCCACACATATTACTCATTAACCGGAACGGAGAAAAAAAAGTCTCCCCAAGTTAAAAAGTGGACTTCATAACTAATAGAGTTTATAAATGTATTTGTATTTGTGTTAAAAAACTACCCAGCCACTTGGGCCGAACGGTAGAGCGACGGTCTCGCTTCCTGCAGGTCGGCGTTCAATCCCCGACCGTCCACAAGTGGTTGGGCACCATTCCTTCCCCTCCGTCCCATCCTTATCCTGACCCCCTTCCAAGGGCTATATAGTCGTAATGCCTTGGTGCTTTCTCCTGATAGTTTCTTTCTATTCCTTTCCCCCGGAAATGTTTACAAAATGCGACTAAAATCTCCCAGTTTCTATTTATGTGGCGTTACGTTAATATTACATTACTGAGTGTTCAGTTATTAGACACTCGAGTCCTGCCGGCATGAGGTACCTGGAGCTTTGCAATTACTTTATTCACTCTCGTGTTCATGGGGATATCCTCGTAATGCACCCAAAGTTTGCCAGTGCAGGCCAGTGCCCCTGTATGCCCGCCAAACACACACCGAAACTACGACGTTGCTACAACGTTCGAACAAGTTTTAACACCTCCTAACCAGTTACAACAACCAATATATCAAGTTGTAACAACGTTCTATTACGTCATAAACACGTTAAGCCAAGATGCAACAACTTTATTACAAGTTATAACAAGCGGAAAATAGAGTCAGTTTCGGTTTGTGTTTCCAGGGTGGCCACCATGCTGCGAGATGAGGATTTTGGTATTAAAACAAACTAGGTAATCAATTACATGGTAGATGCACAAATGACCTGGTATCTAATACTAAAAGAACTTTACATGATTATCAGCGCGACAGTGTTGGTACGATAGCCATAGCCACTCTTGGTACGATAGCCATTGTTTTCTAGATATTAATTAAAGGTCTGAATGCAGACACTTGAGAGTCAGACTTCCGGAGATGGTCAAAACTATAAGACTTTCAATAAACACTCAGAGGCTTTCTGATCTCAAGTCTGACAAAATAATGATTTCCTATTAGCTAAGGCTGGATAAAACCTTTCGCGCCATCCTTAGCGTGTTTGAATGTGGCGCAGAGAGATTGTAGATGTTAATCCGAGACAGAAAGTGACGGGAGACAGACCCCGGCACACGAAGCTCCCCACGGGTGCCGGGCCTCACAGTTCGACGTTGGCCGGGTGCTCATGCGTGAGCGACGCCAGGGAGGCTAAAGTGACAGACAGAGCGTGAAGGATGTTGATCTCTGTTGCCGCCGCAGGTGGCGCTTCTGTCGTAGCTCCTGGGGTTAGTGCTGGCGCTGCGGGTGCTGTGTCAAGCGCCTCTAGTAGCGGTCCTGAGTTGCTGTGGGCGCTGCTAGGGCTGCTGTGGGGGCTGCTGGGGCTGCTGTGGGCGCTGCTGGGGCTGCTGTGGGCGCTGCTGGGGCTGCTGTAGGGGGTTGTTGTAGGGGCTGCTGGGGCTGCTGTGGGCGCTGCTGGGCTGCTGTGGGCGCTGCTGGTGTTAATGTTGGCACCACTTGTACTGCTAATGATATTGGTGCTAGTATCAGTGTTGGTGGTGCTCCACCTTCCCATAGTCCATGTGACGGGGCTGGTGGTGGTGTGGTTCTAAGCTCACAATCCATGCACCTTCCGTCCTATACTACACTAAGATGCTTAGCATAACCCAATCCCTGAATTATCTTGATATACTCACCGCTACTGCTGGCATTATCAGTAATAACAACCCCATTTGGGACTAACACCTCAGGAAGATTAAATAGTGAGGAGTAACATTAATCAGTTGACTTCCTCTAAATGTGATTATGTAATAATTTAGAACTATCTCTAATTCGTGAATGAATCATCTGTCGACTTAGAATGAATGGTGATCATTTATTATTTTGTCTGCTATGTACGTAATGATTCGGTACTGGTGTTCGAATTCACTTTGGTAAGTATCCGCGAAAGTTAAAGGTTAGCAAGTACATGATGGTAATGATAAACATTCGTGCGTGACACTTAGGAACAGGTCGTAGAGCTGTGCATATGACCCCAGATGAGGTCAGGATCTTGAAGAACTTGCATCGTCTTACCACTGATGCTCGTCTAGAATGCTGAGACGAGAGATCCGAACAGCAATACATATACTCACGTGAGGTCTCTCACACTCACATGAGTATGAGATAGCCACCTTCCAAGATATGAGATATCTTCCAAGATACCCACCTTCCAAGATATCTCCTCCTCCTCTACCCCCCTTCACCAGCAGAGACAAGAACAACGACTGACACCTCACGAGTGTCAGCGCCCACTTGAGAGGCACCTGGTGAAGCCTCATCAAGGTGCCAAGTTGATTTTGGGGGTAAACCAATCAGCAGCCCCCCCCCCCTGGCGTCTTGAGTCACCTTCATCGCTGATGACTTGGAAACTCTTCTCCTTGTAGTAGGTATACAGTGCTAAACTTCCACCTTCCACAGTATATATTATATATATAGGGAACATTACTGTACAATATATTATATATATATATATATATATATATATATATATATATATATATATATATATATATATATATATATATATATATATATATATATGCGAACAAGCTTGAATGGTCCCCAAGCCAATATGCAACTGAAAACTCCACACCCCCAGAGGGATTCGCACCCAGACAGCCAGGAGCACTATGCACCTTGGCGTACCTGGTACTTTAACCACTCGACCACCGTGACTGAACAAAAGTCATTGGTAGCCAAGGTTATATCCCCAACGACCCGACAGCACTTGGTGGTAAGCATGGGCATAGATAGGCATGTCAGTCATAGATAGACTTGGTCACCACATGTCCTTCTGGGCTGACGACCTTCTCTGGGTCCACACATTCCCCAGCTTCATCACCAGCCTTAAACACTTCTTCACAGGCGTGTTACACTGCACTGGGTACTGGTGAGGGAAGGGGCGTGCTTAACCTTCTACTGCCCTGACTGTCTCCTCTCATAATCTCTGCTACGAGCCTTCTTGCTGTCTGCTTCACACGAACTATAGTAGATGTGTCGATGGACATGGAGCCGGTCCACTCTCCATCATGGCCCAGACTCAAGTGTGTCTCACCAGGAGCCATCAGAGGCCATCAGAGGCCATCAGGTGCCATCAGGGACACCCATGGTCAGCCTCGTCTGGGCTAGACTCCATTCCCAGCAGCTGTACATGACATCATAAGACAAATGCCTTCAGTGAAAATTCTTTAGGAGAAAACAGGGCCAGAAAAAAACGAATAATAACTATATCCACTCTTACTCACCTGTACATGCTCTGCCAAATATAAACTGGATATAAGCCAGTTCAAACAGGTATATGTGTGGAATAACTCACACTGGATAAGATGGCTCTTGTTGAGGGATTGACCTCGGAACAGTACACTTTGGAGCAGGTCGTAGAGGTGTATGCATGACCCAGGAGACTTAAGGGTAGGTCGTAGACGTGAATGCATGACCCAGGAGACTGGAACAGATCGTAGAGGTGTGTGTATGACCCAGTAGACTTGGGAGTAGGTCGTAGAAATGTATGCAAGACCCAGGAGACAGGTACAAGTTAAAGTAGGAGAGAAAGTACACTTACTTGCAATAGTAGAGTCGACCCTCTCTAGTAAAGTGAAGCGTCCAGCCGGGCCGGAGACGGGCCTGGAAGTGGTCGAGCAGTTTGTGCAGCAGGTGGGCACGCTCCTGCTGCTGCTGCAGGCTCAGCCCACTAATGCCCCCCTGCTGCTGCTGCTGCTTCTGCTGGAGGTGGTGGTGGAGGGTGGGCCCGCCCCCGCCCTGCTGGCTGCCATACCACGGGTTCAGGAACATTGGCAACCACCATCACTCGTCGCCCTGTAACACAAGATGGCAACCTGTTAGTCTTTACCGGCAGCGTCGGCCTCTTTCTCCGCATTGCAGATGCAATTCTTGGTGATTTACAGACCTATCCCTTTCCATCATAGTAGTAGTAGGCATCCTTCACTCTCAGAAGACTATGGAGTGCTTGGGTAGGTAGATATGGAGGAGAAGCTGTTACCCATGCAGCAGGTCCCCCCTCCCCACGTTGCTGAAAATATCCAATAGAAAGGCATACGTACATTTTATTCACTTGCATTATGATGACACCTTTCCATCATAACTCCTTAGTAACCTAACCACAGGCTATGGCTCGTTATTCTTGCACTAATCGATGGGATCGCTTTGTTACTCATCAGCCAATTACAGGAAGGCTCCCGCACCGATATTCTTCAACAACCAATCACGTGACATAAAGCTCTTGGCGCACTAAAACCAATCACAAAACAGTAATTTGTTTAGACTCTCAAGTCTAACCCAACCTATCACAAGTAACCGTTCTTATACCCTAGTCAGTCAAATGAACAAATCCACAAGGGCCGTGACGAGGATTCGAACCTACGTCCGAGGTTATCCCAGACGCTGCCTTAATCGACTGAGCTACGACATGGTAAAAAGCGTTGAAACCAGAAGTTGTACCTAACTTACTTGGATCCTGCAGCCTCTCCGAGACACAAACCAGGGTATTACACAACTCCCCCCATGCACTCGAGCTATGTCAATAGGCCGTTCTACCTCTTCGCCCTTACTTCATTACACACAGAAATCACAATAGCGTGATGTATCTGCCTGTACATCACGCCTATAGACCTGCCTGCCTATAGACAGTGACTGACCCTTAGTCAGTCACTGTCGCTCTAAATTCCTGATCACGGTAGCTCTGTTCTACCACCCCAGCCAGTTACCGTAGACTCGTTCCATCTCCCCAGCCAGTCACTGTAGTTCCATCTCCTCAGCCAATCACTGTAGTTCCATCTCCCCAGCCAATCACTGTAGTTCTATCTCCCCAGATAGTCACTGAAGCCATGTTCTTGCAACAATGGTATCCGTGAACGGCAATGGGAATCGTAAATAGAAAGGGGGGGATGAGAATCAATTAGAAGTATGCAATATCAATTATAACACTGCATACCTTAGGAAAGGGAAACAGAGAATGGGTATTGGGGAATGAAAGAGAAAGAAGGAATGGGAATTGAGGAATGGAAGTGAAGTACCGGAATATCATTATGACATGGGGAAAGGATATAGGTGCAATTTAAAGGGAGTTCACTTCAAGATATCAGATTATGTGATATATATTATCCTGTTATACTTGCACATCATAAATTACAAACACGATTCTGGTCTAACACAATGTACACAGAAATGTAAAGTCGTGTACTTTTTGGTGTTTGAGTGTGTGTAGAGGCGATGAGTCACAGTAACATGGCTAAAGTATGTTGACCAGACCACACACTAGAAGATGAAGGGACGACGACGTTTCGGTCCGTCCTGGACCATTCTCAAGTCGTGAATCGACTTGAGAGTGGAACGTCGTCGTCCCTTCACCTTCTAGTGTGTGGTCTGGTCAACAGTGTGTGTAGAGGTTATTCCTGCCCATCAGTTGTGTCTTATGCCACCACAGCGGTCACCTCTCACCACTACCACCACGACCACGACCACCACCATGCCCACTACCACCACCACCATGCCCACTACCACCACCACCACCATGCCCACTACCACCACCACCATGCCCACTACCACCACCACCATGCCCACTACCACCACCACCACCATGCCCACTACCACCACCACTATCTCTACAACCACCACTTCCACGACCACCTCCAAGGGAGAGATACATAATAATCTATGCTTGTAAAATGTTAAGGGGGGATTGATTCCAAATTTGCACATGGAAATAACATCACACGAGACCAGGAGGCATGGCAGGATATGCAAAATACCTCCGATGAAGAGCAGAGGTGCAATAGGCACGCTGAGACAGAACTCCATTAACATCAAAGGTCCAAGACCAACCCATCCTCCGAACTGACAGTACGTTTTAATACTAAGTGTAATAAGTACATTTCCTGACTGTCATACATAGTACATAATTGCACTTATGGGGCTGTTCCAATTACCTCCCCATTTTTGGAGGACGGGCTGCCAAGACTGTTAGTCACTCTCCGCAGCACATAAGAGGCATGTCTGGCCGGCTTCTCACAGTGTTCAAAAGAGAACTCGACTGGCCCCTCCAAGAGAGATACGTGATCAACCAGGCTGTGGTTCATACATCAGGCTGCGAGCAGCCGTATCCAACAGTCTGGTTGACCAGACCACCAACCAGGAGTTAGAGACCGGGCCACGGGGACGTTGATCCTCGGAACCATCTCAAGCTAACCATAAAACAACCTGAACAATACAACAAATATTACAACTGTTACAATCAACAATTGATACAATACAGCAACCTGTACAATACAACAACTGATACAATACAAAAACTCTTACAATACAACTGGCACAATGCAAAAATTGGTATAATACAAACACCGGCTGGCTGATTGCATTTACGCGCAAGTGATTGGCTGCCGGACTAAAAAGACTGACAGGCCAATTTCCATTCAAAGAGCGATTGTATCACAATCTTCGTCTTTCTGGAGGAATATGATGACTATTATCTTCACGTGCAGTGACTGAGGCAGAGACAATCACACCACGTGCAGTGAC